CGTGCGTGAGGCTTGGTTCCCGTGAATGCTTCTTCGATTTCTGGTTTGGGATGATTTTCAAAACACATGGGGAAGATTTCAATACTTATATTGCTTAGAATCTTGTGAAGATTAATTAAAATGGCTTTTGGCATTCCCATACTTTGCCTATAAATATGAGATGATGAAGTGAAGGAAAGCAGTTGATATTTGTGAGCATATGTGCTATTAACCTGCGGGTTTATTCGGAAATCCAGCGGGCTCTTTCCACCTTTTCTCATATCCTACGAAAATCCTGCGGGCTATTTCCACCCTTTCTTCTCGAGCTTCTAACCTCTTCGTCTCTCCGCAAGTGCCACTCCATCTGTATCCTTCTTCTCAACAGTGAAGCAACTTTAGGGTGTCGTGTCTTGGTTGATTTGGAAGCATTTGGGACAGTCTTGCAGTGGTGGACCATCGGTTTGCTAGTCTTATGCACTTCTTTTATTTAATCTACTATTCGATGCATGTGAGGAACCCGCTTTGACGGTTGTCTGAGGATAGCGTTTTTTTTTTATTTCTTTAAAATCTTCTAGTATTTCTAGTTGTGTTTGTCAAGTTTTAGTTGTCTGCTTTTATTTTAATAAAGTTTGTTTTGAGTTCTATCCATTGCGTCAATTTCTTCTCGTGTGTCTACATCAGAAATTTTCACCATCTAGCACTTAAAGAAGATGTTGGGGGAATGGATGATAGACCCAATCAAGATCTCATGGTTCCGTCGTCCCGGGCCATCGTGGTCCCTTGTCTACTTAGTCAGAGGAGGTAGCCGACCTAACTTGACAGAAGGATCCTTATCGGCAGCCATGGGTTGCTTTGTCCAAGGGGACCTTATAAACCTGGGATGGGTATTTGCCTAAGGGGACAAATTTAAATCCACCTTAGCTAACATAGGGCTTTGTGCCCTATCAATCATATCCTATTGATTCATATCTCAAGGATTTGATGCCAATAAGGAACGTAACGGCGATGGCCATAACCGGTATTTCGTGGTGCCATTTGGCGGCAAAACCACTCGGTTCAGAGGGCCCCGGGTCATAATCGTTTATCCTGCGATGTCATTTGGCGGCAAAACTGTCGGTCAGAGGACACGTACTACGTCCTTACTGCTAGGAGATTGTTTGAGAATTGATCCTAGTGATATTTTCGACTAGGCATTTAGCTCTTTTGTGAGCTGAAGTAAATTTCGATTTGTCCACCCCGGCAAACTGTTGCGGAGGGTGGATGGATTTTGCTTTAAGCGTTGTGATGGATCGTTTCATTTTTAAATATTTTTTTGGATTTATGAGAATTTTATGGATTTTGTGGGTATTTTAGGTGGAGCTATGGAATATTTGAAATGGACTTTAGATATTTGGGAGGCATTTGGAAGAATATTTGGGAACCTCTTCGATTGAGATCTGCATTCAACACGGCCATCATCGGGTGTTTGGGATCATTTCTCTTTTGTTGATTGAATCTTGTCAACTCTATCGAATTATCGATAGAGGATCAGATTTCGTATATTTTATGCCCTTATTAGTGAATTCTTTTGATTGTAGGCCTTGAAGGCCTAATATGAATGCATTGAAACAAATACACCGGTCTCCACAACCATGTATTTGTTTGAAGGGTTCGAACCCTGTCGACTCCTATTGATCTGTATAGAAAGATCGGGTTCGAACAAGAATTCACTTATTGACCCGCGCAGCATCCCTAGTCGTCACGTGTGTACCAATAACACGTTCGCCGGGGCCCATGCGGGTGTTTGGGGGCATTTTATAATTGAACCCTGTCAACTCCTTTCTTCTACTTAGAAGGATCGGGTTCAAGTTTAATAACCCGCGCAGCATCC